CCTGGAAAATGCATTTATTTTATAGTTATGAGCACAAAGAATGCAAATTACACCCTAGCATGGGGATCAATACATTTGTCAATGGAATAATTCCAATCAATGGTCTTTAAATCTTTGCTCTGATGCAGAAGATATTACAGAGGTGAAATTTTGATGAGCTTTGGAAAATAGGACGCTATTTATTCTTCTCAGTGGCTGCTGCCATTGAAACTGAACTGTTGACATAATGAATGAGTTATAGTTCCTGCTCAGAAAAAATGTGATGGAAAAAGTAAAGGAATAAGAAAAGTGATACAGTTCCAATGCAATGGCTTAACCACCAACTTCAATAGTATGTTCTGTGCTTGTGCTGGTAGTAGGAAAGAGAGGCAGCCATCAAGCACTGTAGGTCACTTCCTTTGAGGATTGTACGCACATAGAATATACAAAGAATATGACAGCAGTCACAACGGTCTGTTGGCGCTCACGCTAACTACATACATTTTCAGTTTCTAAACAAAGAAAACCAACATTTGTGTGCATCAATGGAAAGGGTCACTAGAAAGATCTGACAAAAACATAAAAGGCTAGAAAGATGAAGAATTGTAAGAAGTAGCTTCATTCATTGAGATAGTATCTATGAAAACATTTTTTTTTTTACTTTTCAAACAATATGACTAAAGCTCTCAATTTCACAAATTCATTTACAGAAAAACTTTTTTTTAGCAAATTATCTGAAAGTGGCTACTCAATGTGCAACTGTCAGTCAGAAGAAGACAATGATGGTTATTTTCTAAAGGCACATAGGCTATTCACTTTGCAAGGGAATTCCCCTTAGTTTAGTGAAGGAGATAAAGTTCTTTTGACTTCCATCATCCGATCATGCAAGCAAAAATATTGTTTTTTATTCTCATTGCATGTGATTGGGTATTCCTTACAAAGTGAATTTTCACTATATTTACTAAATTAAGGGAAAATTCCCTTGCAAAGTGAACAACCTATTTGCCTGTAGTAAACCATCTCCAGTGAATTGGTTTTTCTCCTACAAAAGTATTGCCACAATGTTTGCATTCATTGAATGCATATTTTTTATGTTGGAATGTTGTGTGATGAACGCCTCCATAAAAGATCTATGAATTTGCTGAGATACAAAAATCTGGGCACTTGTTAGGTGGCATAGCATGTAGTTAAAGTGGAAGTAATGGCTAATGCAAACCAGCTTAAAATATTGCCTTACCCCTCCTTCTACCTATGCTGCATACCATTTTAAAAATAGAGTAGTGTAAATACCTTTTTTTATTCAGCTTGGGTGCAATCATGTGATCCAGAAGCGATGCTCCCCTGTGTCAATGAGGGTCTGCTGCAGGAGAAGGGAGGGAGCAATGGAAGCCAGCAGGTGACATCAAGGCTCCGTAAATTCAGCCTCATTGTTGAGAGTTCCTGATACAGTGGAGCAGCTGCTTCTGAATCACATGAGAAAGTGGATCATCATGGGATCAACTCCACTGCTTCTATAGCCTAGTCCATAGAAGAGGTGCTGTATATAACTTCCTGGAAACTTCACAGTAACTTGGCTCAGAATTCCTTGCAAGAACCCTAGATGCTGGGTTTTCAACGGCTTGAGGATGCTGAAAGTCCTCTAGCCAGACAGTGAGCTAGGCTCTCTCTGACTTGCTGCAGCTTTAAATGCATGCTGTGGGAAGCTCACAATGCGTAGTGAAATCAGACTAAGAATTTTAGTACAACGGTGCAAGACTGGAGGTTAGAGTGGAGAGGGATTAGAAATTTTGTCAGGTTTTTAGTGCTGTCTGCATCCCCATTATGGAGATTCTCCCTCTATATATGTCCTGTTTACCATTGTCATTGAAAGTAAAAGTAAAAGAAAATCACTAATTTTAGGTTGAATTTGCAAAAGGAATAGAGGGGAATTCATTCAATAGGGACACTAGTTTAGGTGACCCTGCTGACACCCAGGGAGGGGTTACTCTCTCTTCCTGTTTTCCCTATGGTACAGGAAGTACAGGGAAACCTCCCCAATAGGACACAGATGACAAAAATCCTACCTTACTCTATCCAAAATTAAATGAAAAGTTTTGCGTTTAGGGGCACTTTACTGTAAGTGTATGTCACGTGCATCTCATAGATCACTAGGCAAGAGAAGAAGGAAGAAATGATTTCCTTCTGCCTGCAGCTGACAGAATATATTGTTCTCTGAGTATATTCCCCAAGAAAAGACCATGAGATTTCAGAGGAACAGTCTTTGAAGGTGCAGACTACGTTATCATAAGGTCTAGGTGGCAGACTGCTCAAACCATCCAGTGACCTCTCATGCATTGATGATAATTTAGTGATATCATGGGTGCTTTATTCTATTTAAAGGGGAAGAAGCCTTGATCTTCTGATATTGTATGAAGTCTGGAGGAGCAAATTGCTCCACCGAATAGAACAGACAACCTTGAAAGGAGTGTTCTGCTCACTGAGCAGTTGGATAATGGGTTTGATATGGAGAGATAAATCAGGATTTTCAGGTAGGAAGATGGGTTAATGTAGCTAGGGTGGTAGGAGCTCACAGAAAAGGCCAGTCCTGTGTTTGAGCACCAAATTTGTTCATTTGGGTGAAGATGTGGAGGTGGCAGTCCAAATGTCACTGTTACCCATAACAGCCAGAAAAGAAGCCCATCAGGTTGGGGTGGTGAAGGTAACACAGGGAGGTCTAGACAGTTGGAGGTAATAGGGAAGTCTATAATCAGATAGACTGGGTTTGGCATGTGGTGGATGGGGTTGATAAATTACTGGGAGGGGCTGGGCATTATCCAGCTATCGTGGTCCTTATTGGAACCTATGACAGATTACATAGAAGACGGATGATCCTTAAGAATAAATTTAAAGAACTAGGCTGCAAGGAAGGACCTTCAAGGTAATCTCTGGAATATTGCCTGCACAATGTGCAACACAAGAAAAGACAAGTGGGGATTAAAGAACTGAATGAATGTCTAAACCCTGGTGTTTAAAGGGAAGGATTTTGATTTCTAGAGCACTGGTTGACTTTTCATTGTGGTACTACCTATATACTAAAGACAGTTTGCACCTAAATGGAATGGAGTCTGCTGTGCTGGGGGAAAGGTTTATGAGGAGACTGGATGAATATTTAAACTAGGACTAATAGGGAAGGGATAAATAAAATACAAGGGGTCGGACATTAATGGAGGGTGAAATAAGGGAAGATGGAGGAGGGTCATAGCACATGATAAGGAGTTTCCAATGTTACAAACGACCATTGTCAATTAAAGTGCTATTTGTATTACTAAAAAAGATATGCAAAACACAAGCACAATGCATTATTGTTTGTTCACCAATGCCAGAAGTCCACAAAGCACAATAGGAGAGTTTGAAACCTTGGTGCATAAAGAGAACTATGCTTTAATTGGTATTGCTGTATCTCGTCTTCACTCTTTGCATGACTGGGCTGTTAATATTCCTGGTTATGCTCTCTTTCTGAGAGACAGGGTAAAACAAAAAGGTGGTGGTGTCTGTCTCTATGTGAGAAGTGATCTCAAAGTGAGTGTGAAAGAGGACTTTGTTGATGGAGAGTGTGATGATGCGGAAGCATTAAAGGTGGAGCTGCATATGGCTGTGGGTACTATAAAGTTAAGTATTGGAGTGTGTTGCAAGCCACCTAGTGTTAAAGAGGTGGAGACTCATATCTTTGAACAGATAGAAAAGGCTGCAATGGCTGGGACAGTGATTGAAATGGGGGATTTTACCTATATATATAAAAATGCAGCGCTGTAAAATGATCAAATCATGTAAATCAACACAATAATAGTCCTGAAAAGGTGCTCAATAATTCCCAGTGCCAATGGAAAGAATGCAAACTAACCAGAAACGCATTTAAAATACGCATGTGTGTAAGAAATCCTGGAGATTCCCCTCTCTCCCTCTGGTCAGAAAATGGATATGTGCTGAAATGGATGACGATGACGCCCTCTTGTAGGAAAACAAAATCCTGCAGGTTAGGAAGCTCCCAGGATAGGATATTCCTCTTCAATGGAACCAGGGCTGGGATTGAAATCACTCTGTGGCTGTGAAGTTGGTAGAAAGGCCCCTCACAGAGAACACAGAGAGATACTCATAGTGTAGTATATTACTTCAATTTATTTAAAAAAACCAAGTAAAACATATAATCAGGTGGCAAGTGAAAGTGACCCACTGACCCTCTTAAAATTCTAGGTGGCCGCCGGGCCTCCACATGGCACCGGCGGCGTAGTGTCAACGACGTCCACAGGCTCCCTCTGACGCGTTTCGTGCGCATGCACTTCTTCTGAGGTAGAGCAAGGGGATTTTACCTACCCTGAAATAAACTGAAGTGATGCTGGCACAGTAAAAGGGAGGAATGTATATACCAATTACAAGATAATTTTATGATACAGTTCATAGAAGCCCCAACTAGAAAGCCATGTGGAGCGTATTACTAACATCCATATAACGGAACATATGGGTAGCAGTAACCATAACATTATTTCATTTAATGTAAGCTTTAAACAACAAACACATACTGGAAAGATAAAAACACATTTTAAGAAAGCAAATTTTCCAAGGCTGAGGGCTGTTGGAAGGAATGTTGTAATTAAAGAGCACAGAACAAAAATGGGAATGCTTCAAATAGGCTGTATGCAAACACACTGCAGAATATATATCCAAGGGAAATAAGTTTAAAAGGCTAAATATAAACCCTATGTGGCTCACATCCAAAGTTAAAATAGCTATACATAATAAGAAAAGAGCATTTAAAAAAACATAAAAATGAAGGAACACTATTATCATTTAAAAATTGCAATGAATATAGCAGAATATGTAAAAATATAATCAAGGCTGCAAAAATGTAAAACAAGCTTTAGGTTACAAGAAATAATAGGACACACCCCCAAAAAAATTCTTCAAATATGTTAGCAGTAAAAAAAATTCAGGTCTGAGCATGTAGGTCCTTTTGAGTTGGTTACCTGGGACCAGAGGCGGACTATTTGGGCAAGGACACAGGGGCCCCATGATCCCCTATTGCCCGGGGGTCCCATGAATTGTCAGTCCGCCCCTGCCCGGGACATAGAGGTGGAAAATGTATTAAATTTGTGAAAAAAACAATATTGTGGCACCTAAATCAGTGAATAAATCAAAAGCTTGTGAATAATGCCAGCGTTGAGCTAGCAATAGTGACAGCTGCCCTTAAATAGTGAAATACACTTAAAACGTAGACGCTAAGTCAATAAACCATAAGACAAATGCCTATGACATCACATGCTGGCAGTGAGGCTTGGAACGCACGCCAGCCATTATCATTGAGATTCATGATATACACAGGCTGCACAGACTGGTGCCGGTATTTGGGTACTGTCACTTGTGAGTGTATTGGCATTTTATTTATCTATATCATGGTCTTCAATAAACACTACACTTAGAGAATTTTAATCTATTTGGTTTATTTGAGCTACTTGGAGCATTATCTACACCTTGAAGAGAGCCTGGGATTGGGAATCAATCTAAAATCTGTGCACTCAGAGCTTCATTATCCCCTATCTGGGGGCCGCCATCCTTGGGCCTCTGGATCCATATTCCTTATTAGGAGATCAGGAAACCAGGCCCATGAGCCTGGATTTATATATCCTATATTCTAGTTGGAAAAAGAGGTAATAGAACAATGCAGAGTGGGTGGGTTTACATGGGGGGAGGGAGGTTTTATTTATGGAGGAGGGGAAATTAGATAGCGGGGGGAGGTAAATGGGAATAAAGATAGTAAGAAATGTTATTAATGATATGGAAATGGTTTTTTGTATGAGAATAATGATGAAATATGTATTATATATGGAAAATAAATAAAAATTTAAATTAGAAAAAAAAAATAAAATAAAAAAAAAAAAGGAAACCAGGCCCATGAGAACTTGCTGTTGCTGTTGGCTGTCAGCATATTGCATGACCATAAAGCGCTTTTTGACCACTTTAACCGGGGTTAATTATTTCTGGTGAGTGAGGAATAACTTATTGTCTACACATGGTGAAAAAGAAAATCTTTTGATCTATGGGATTATATTTTCATGGGACTGTCACTCACTATATGTTCAATATATATTTTGTTTGGGACTTATAGTCATTTTCTGGTGTTGCTAAATTTATTAAATACCTTCTTCAGATCTGTGTATGCAAAGGAAAATGGGGAAGTCCTTAATGGGGATACTATTGGCATAGCCCCAAATGATTACAATGTCTCAAAATTGACATGGCCCAGAAACATTAAGTGAACATACAGATGATTAAAGTACCTGGACCAGATTGCTTACACCCAAGGGTCCTCATAGAGCTGTGCTCTGTTTTATCTAAGCCATTGTTTCACATTTTTAGAGACTCTATAATGACTGGCAAGGTACACATTTGTCCTGTGACTGGCATAGGACAAATGTGGTACCTATACTGTATTTGAAAAGGGATTAAAGTCTTTACCAAGTTAGTGTACTATTGCTACTGGTTATATTTGGGAAAATACTTCAGAGCTTAATAAAAACCATATAGAAGAGTTTTTGCTAAAAAATAATATTTAAAGCAATAGCATGGATTCACAAAAGACTGAAGTTGTCAGACATGTTAGATTTCTCTTTATGAGAAGTTAAGCAAAAAACTCAGACAAAAGAGTAGCTGTTGATATAGTACACATGGATTTTGCCAAAGCGTTTGACACAGTTCCCCACACAATAACTAAAGTTGTCTTTACATCATGGGATATATTCTTTTGAGGAGAGGATTAAGAAAGGATTTTTTCTAGGTGTGCATGTTTATTTTCTACTTTTTTTTTTGTGAATAAGTAACTAGGGGTCCTGCCCCCCAGATTTTCACATCCACTGGGTTTGGAATATGTGGAAGAGGACAGTGTCCACATCAGCATAGGGACACTATATTGTGCTAGAGCACAGTAACATTTGCAAAGTAAACTTCCCATATTGAAGGCATGTAGCCTGGTATAGTTATGGGGAGCACATGCTTGCTGCACCTTCCTTTCTTAGCCAGCCAGCCTGAATGCTTGGATAAGGGTATGGTATGGATTTGAGAAGAATGGGACACTTTTTTTGTCTTTTGTGCAAGGCTCTATGTAAAATCCATACCAGACCCTTATCCTGGATAAGGGTTTGCTAAAGATACTGAGGGGGATCCTGCAGCCACTGCGATTACAGACAGAACAAAATCAGCCAGGAAACTTAATTTAGTGGAATTTGTTTTTCAAATGTCACTTTGCTATAGTACATCCTTTACTTCACATGCAGATTTAAGGCATCCTACACACATTATATTTAAATGGATAGTTTACACTAGCATTGCTCTCTGAAGAGAGGGGTCACGTCTGTGCAGCTCCAGCGACCCCATAGACATGAGTTGTTTGCCTCCACGCAGAACCTGCTGACTGAAATTGCATAAACAGGACACTCATTCAAGGACTAGAGGTATCAGCACCCATCTGAATTGGGCCTAAATGTGAAATGTCAAATATATTTCAGGCACAGGAGCATAAATGATTTATATTATGGTAGACTAATAGGAAAAGAAAAGCACATGGAGTCCTAAAATTGTGAGGATGTTCATTTGTTGGAAATATCTCTGTGTTTTTATTACTCACAAGTGCATGTTAATCATTTGTTGCTATCCCACCTACCTAGACATGGGGAAAGGTATATTAATGTAGTGGGTACAATCAGGGGCAGACTGACAACTCATGGGGCCCCCCGGGCAATAGGAGATCATGGGGCCCCTGTGTCCTTGCCCAAACTCAAAAAAGCCTATGAAAAAGATACCAGGGGCATCTCATACGGCCCCCTACTGACCCTGGGACCTCGGGTAGTGCCCGAGTTTCCAAATGGTCAGTCCGCCCCTGTGTACTGTGTAATGTAATGTGTATATTGCATCTTACCAATCATTAGATGTGGTGGCTGCATCAGTTTTCTTTTGTTAGGATTTTTTCCCTCTGTTTTCACCTGATCAGGCCAGTAAAACACCTCCTGCAGTAGGGTGCCCCACTCTGGATGAATGAGCACAGTAAGCACATTTGGACAGCAGCATTGTCAGTCGGGGGGGAGGAGAGTATTTGATTCACTAAGGGCTCGTTCACACTTGACTGTTTTACCAACGCTTGCCAAACCCCCCTATAGCGTTTAGCAAGCGTTGGTCCGTCGTTTGCGGAGCGTTTTTTAATGCTTCGCAAACGCCACATGCGCGGTTTAGCGATGGTTGCTAGGCATTTGCAGAGCGCTAAAAACGCCCTACAAACGCCTAGAATGAAGTTTAAATGGTGTTACCGCTCCGCAAATGCCCCGCAACCGCATCGCAAACCCGCCGCAAACGCCCGGCACCATAGACAAGAATAGGAGGCTTCAACACACTCCTGACTCATCCAGAGGCATCCGTTTTGCCGCACCACGACGCACCGTGTCGTGATGCTACCACTCCCGTTAGAACAGCACCATGTGCTGCAATGTGCAGAATTGCCAGAGGCGTTTGGGAAGGGGTAAAAACGCTTCCCAAACGCCTCTCTGCCGCCTGCACACAACGCTAGTGTGAACGTAGCCTAACAGATATAAATACACTAACAAATTGAAGCCTAACTCCAGCTACTACTTTATAAGCAGTTACAGCAGACTGTTTTCCCATCTCTGTAACTGATATATTCTGCTGGAGAGCTTGTTCTTTTGAAATACAACAGACCTACTGGCTGGATCTCCAAATGAAAATACAAGAAAGAAAGCCTAAAAAATTAATGCAGCCATCATATATAAGAAAAGGTAAGTGGCACTATAATGTTTGCTTTTGGGTTTAATACTGCTTTAAGTCCCTTTAAGCTGAAAAAGATTAAAAAAAAAATTGAAAAATACATACTACTGCCTTGCTCTTATGACGCTGTATGCATAATTATCAATACATTTTTGAGAGGCCTCATGTCATGTGCAGGATTTCCTTTCAACAGGAGTACTTATGAACAGGAGTCTTGAACCTACCGTCAGTTTTTCCCAGCAGTATAATCAGTATGCAAAGGTAGAGTCGTAACATTTGCTTTTATTGTAGCTACTTTTTCTTGTCTCCCAAAATACACACATTAATTCCTTTTATTACTATAAGGACACTACAGCACAGTAAATAACTGGTGATTCAGCAAGTCCTCTTCATAACCCTCTTCCCTTTCTTATTTGTTCCTAACCAAACTAAGCATGGAAACAGATCTGTGATATCTTGGTTAGTTTGCCTGCCTGCTTCCTACAGGGTGCTGTACATGCATGGTGTGACTCTAGTCCAGCAATGGGCAAACTACGGCCCGCGGCCGTATACGGCCCGGCGGACCTTTTAATCCGGCCCGCGGAGCTAGGCTCCCGCAAGGCCAGTGGTCGGCAAGCCGCGGCTCTTTACAAAATTAGATGCGGCTCTCCTGTGTGCCGGGCGCCCGCTCCCCTCCCTCCTCTCGGGCGGGCGGGCGGCCTCCTCTCCTCCTCTCCCCTCCCCTCCTCTCGGATGGCCGCCCCCCCTCTCGGATGGCCGCCCCCTCCCTCCTCTCGGGCGTCAGGACTCTGCAGCTGTCAGGATGTAGGCGGGGCAGCCAGGATGTAGGCGGGGCAGCGTGACGAACTCTTCTCTCACAGTCCTCCCTGAAGACCAGAACGGCGCGGGAATACGAGAGGAACGCGCGGAGCAAAGGTAAGTGAATTGACACAGGGGGGACTTACTATATGGGGAATGAATTACTATATGGAGGACTTACTATATGGGGGACTTACTATATGGGGAATGAATTACTATATGGAGGACTTACTATATGGGGGACTTACTATATGGGGGATGAATTACTATATGGGGGACTTACTATATGGGGAATGAATTACTATATGGGGAATGAATTACTATATGGGGAATGAATTACTATATGGGGGACTTACTATATGGGGGACTTACTATATGGGGAATGAATTACTATATGGGGGACTTACTATATGGGGAATGAATTACTATATGGGGGACTTACTATATGGGGGACTTACTATATGGGGGACTT